TGGAGCTCTGATGGCTTAGTCCATAGGAATTGCACGGTTAACCCAAAGGCCAGGCCCCTCTGGCAGGTAGAATCCATCTACAATGCTGTGGACAAAAGATACACAGTCTCCTCCCAAGCGATTTACAGCCTTAAAAACCCAATGGAGGCTCAGAAAGAGTTGATTCCTACTGACAGCAAAGAGTTGTTTTTTAATTGTTTGTTGTTGTTTATGACAATTGCCATTATCATCACTAGGCTGTGATCAAATTTTTATTTTGTAAAGGCCCTGGATGTGCTCACCAGGTTGTGCCAGGAAATCTAGAGGACAACTAACTACCTGGCCAACTAACTGGAAGAGATCCATATCTATCCCCAGTTCTAACAAAAGTGGCCCAACAGAGTGTGGAAATTATCGAACAATATCACCAATACCACATACAAGCAAAAGATTATCCAGAAACGACTGGAACAATACATTGACAGAGAACTACCAGAAATACAAGTTGGGTTTAGATGAGGCAGTGGTACTAGAGACATTGTTGTCAATGTCAGATGGCTCTTAGCAGAAAGCAAAGAGTACTAGAAAAAATGCTTATCGGTGTTTAATTGACTATGCAAAGATATTTGTGTGGATTACAACAAATTGTGGCTAACATTGGGGAGAATGGGAGTCTCAGAACCCTTGATTGTGCTTTTGCAAAACCTATCCTTGGACCAGGAAACAGTCCTCAGGGAAACACTTCATGGTTCAAAATCAGGAAAGGAGTGCATCAGGGATGCATCCTGTCTCCATACCTTTTCAATCTACATGCAGAACAGATGATTTGGGAAACATGGCTTTATGAGGAGGAATGTGGCATCAGGATTGGAGAAAGATTCATCAACAACCTACATTATGCAGATGACACAATCTTGCTTGCTGAAACTGAGGAGGACCTGAAGCATCTGCTGCAAAAGATCAAGGACTGTAGTCTTTAATATGCTTTGAAACTCAACATCAAGAAGACAACGATTCTCACCACTGGGCCAATTGGCAGCACAATGGCGGATGGATAAGAGATTGATGTTGTTAACAATTACAGCTTGCTTGGATCCACAATCAACACTCTTAGCACCAGCAGTCAAGAAATCAAAAGACAAACTAGATTGGGGAAAATCTGCTGTCAGGGGACCTCTCCAGAGTACTGAAAAGCAACAATGTCAGTCTAGAGACTAAGGTGCACCTTGTACAATCCATGATCTTCACAATTACTTGCTATGCATCCATCAAAGAGCTGTACAATGGCTAAGGATGACAGAAGAAGAATAGATACCTCTATAGAACAATAGAGTTGTGGTGCTGGAAAAGAGTCTTGAACATACCATGAACTGCCAAGAAGACATATAGGTCTGTCTTGGAGAGGGTGAAACGAAGTCTTTCCTTGGAGGCTAGTATTTTGAAACTCCATCTCACATATTTTGGGCATGTGGCCAGGAGAGACTGGTACTTGGAGAAGGACATCATGTTTGGAAGGGTAGAGGGACAGCACAGGAGAGAAAGACCCTGGATGAGATGGATTGATAGAGTGACTGGGGCAATGGGGGATTGGTGTGTCGGAATTAGTGAGACTAGCTCAGGAGAGGGCAGATTTCAGAGATGCTGTACATAGGGTCACTATGGGTCACGGGCAACTTGATGGCACATAATAACAACAAAAGTGACAAGCTGCAAGTTTGAGGATTAGATAGCAATTAAATAGTTGAAAAATAAAGAAGTGTGAATTAGGACAGTAAGGTGGGCATAAAGAGGAGGTGTTAAGTTCTAAGAATATTAAAGAATCTTATATCAGAGCTAAAGGCTTTGTACTTTAAAAAAAGTTAATCAGAAAGGGAATTCTTTGACTTTTAACATCATGGTATATATCAAATAGTCTGTAAAGCCCTTCTATCTCAATATAATTGTTATTAAACAGCAACTACATAACTTCAGATATGTTTTGAGCTTGAAGGAAGGAAAGAACCTCTTTAAGATGAAAAATATTTTAAAAACAGCATGCAGAAAGTGCATACCTAAGCAAATATTGCTGATACCAATGCAATGATCATAGAATATGCTTTTAGGCCCACTGCAGGGCAGAGGAGATGCAGTGAGAATAAAGGATTGCCACTTTAAACTCACTACCGTCAGTCAACTTTTTTTACACATGTTATCTGCTTTTGGGTTCCTAAGGCTGTGAATTTTTATATATTTCTCCCATAGAGCTAAAACTGCTGACCTTTCAGTTAACAGCCCAATATGTAACCCACTATACCACCAGGGCACCTTACATTAACACTAGCCTTGTGTAAAGGTCCCTGGTCTCTCATGACCCTTTAATATCTGCCAGAAGAAAAGAAAAATATCTTTAGAAAAAGTATCCACAATCTAGAACATCAATAAGAATGTATGGAATGAATAATTAGTTGAACAGCATTATTAAATATATAAAGAAATAACTATAGGATAAATGGTTAAAACACTAAGCACAGAACAATTTAGAACATATGAAAGAGATTATTCATCATTTATAAAGGGTCAACTCTGTAAGCAACCCAGATTTCCAAGGACAAGAAAATAGATAAATTGTGGGATTGTGTCCAATGAAGTATTATATGGTAGCGAAAATTAAAGAAATAGTTTTGCAGTATGGAGCTCTGGTGGCCAAAGACATGTGGTTGAATATACCAGCTACACCACAGGAGAAAGAGTGGCAATCTCCTCCATTGTGATTTAAGATTTCACCTCTTAAAACCCTCCGTGGGTCAGATGGCACATATCTATTGTTACTGTTGCAATACACCTACAGACACTTCAAAAAAGAGACATAGTTATTAACTTAAAAAATTATTTAAGATTCTGAAGAGTACAATTCTACTCTGACACACATGGGGTGGCTTTGAGTTGGGATTCAACTACAGGCAGGTGGTCAACAGCTTCAAATAATAATAGTCTTAGAAATGTAACGTGATAATTAAAACTTAGGGAACTCTGGTGGCCTATAGAGAAGAAGCTGAGCTGTAATTCTGAAGGCATGCAGTTCAGATCTACAAGCTGTTCTGTGGGCTACGGATGGGCAGGCTCCTCCCTTGTAATTAACTGCCTCTGAAAACCCGCTGGAGGGTCAGCTATAGGTTGGTTCCAACTCGACGCTATACAACACAAACAACTGAAACTTAGAAAACTAGGCAAAGGAGACAGTCAAGGCTTTACAAAATTTGGTCTAATGATTATACCTCTGAAGGGGGAGAGGTAGATGGAATGAAGAGACTCCATGTATTGAGTTAGTGTTGTTTTTAGTTATACCTTAGAAATTATGTGGCAGGTTCCTTACATATTTCATCTCTTATATAGTGTTTTGTAATTTTCTAATTTTTTTTTAAAAGAAACCCCCCCAGCAGGGATGGCCTGCATGGGGTGGTAGGTGGGGGTCTTGGAGGGAAGGGCTGAGCTTGTTGGCCAGGTTCAACTGCTTCAGGTTTGCTAGTGAACACGCTTGATGAAGAGTCATGGAGGCCTGAGCAAGGCCACCAAAAAGATTAAGAAATTCTTGGAAATCTAGCTGCCCGTCAGAGTTGAGGTCCAGTTTCTTCATCACGCGGTCAAGGACACCAGGGTCCTTCAGATTCTTTGTGAAGGCAGCCAGTTCTGTATTCATGAAGTTCAGGAACTCCCTTTTAGAGAGGGTAATGTTGTGACCATCCTGTCCAGCGTACTTCTGGGACATGGCAATCACGGCTCAATGCACCGCTTGGTCTCTGTGGGGCTCCTGACTTTTGCCATGTCGCAGTGAACCGGAGCGCAGTGGCTGTGGCTTGGAGCAGCAGAGGGTGTGTGGCTGGCTGCGGAAAGCTGAGGCCTCTGGTGGCCCACACCTTGCCCTTGAGTTTCTAATATTTTTTAAAAATTAAATTAAAAACATAAGCAGGGAAGTACAGTCTCTAAATCAACTGTCAGTAGGCAAACGGTATAGGTGCTTCAAGTATCAATACTTCCATCACCTCTGACATATGCTTACACTCCCACTGACCAATCAGTGATAGCCAAGCACTGACCAATCAGCAAGACCCAGCAAAGGGTCTGTGGTAATTGGCGATGCCGGCTCCAACCAATCAGCAATATGCCTACACCAACCAATCAGGGCCACCACTGCTGACCAATTAGCCATGGGCTTGCACGGACCAATCAGCACCACTACTGCCCACCTTGGCCAATCAGCGTGCACCTCCTACAACTAATTAGGGACACCCCCACGCTGGCCAATCAGCACCAGGTTGCATTGGCCAATCATCACTGCTCCCGCGCAGGAGGCCCGTGGCTCTCCAGGGTCAGGAGGTGAAGAGATCGCTGCAGGTTAGGAGGCTGGGCTTGGGGTTGGGCCACTTAGGAGACAGGTCCCTGTGGTCTGTGACCTTTGGGGTCACAGCCGTGAGGAGGGGAAGAGTTTGTCCGGCTTGGGGGTTTGGTCTGGAAACATCTGAGGGAAATCTCTCAGGTGTGACCTGACGCCTCTGACAGGAAAATGGAGGAGAGGAGCCTCACAGAGGGCAGGACAAGCGAGGGGAAGGTAGAGAGTGGGAGGAGGGCGGGGTCTCCGAGGACAGGGGCACGGGGGGGGGGGCGGGGAGGGCGCCCTTGAGGACGCGGGTGGGAAGGCTCCTGCTCGCCCCCCTGTGGACCCCTCGGGGTGGGAGTGGGTGAAAGCGGACCCCGCCCCCCCCCCCCCGACCCCTCAGGGTGGGGATGGGTGAGAGCCCCGCTGACCCCTCGGGGTGGGGGTGGGTGATTCCCGCCCCGCCCCCCCACTGACCCCTCAGGGTGGGGGTGGGTGCCCCCTGCACGTCCCTGGCGGCTTTGGGTGTGTTCGGGGCGGGTGCGAGGCCGCCCATCCACGTGCAGTGCGGGCACCGCCTCCGGCCCGACCTGCTGGTGGGCGTTAGGTCCCCACTGACCGGTGTGTTCGAGGGGCGCGCCCGGCAGGTTGGAGGCGGGGAGAGGCCCCGATGGCCCCCGCGGGGAGGAAGCACTCGGCGAAGTCGCTGAGGGCGGACGTGGACGACCAGGTGGTGGGAACCTTCGACTACGACA